ATGAGGAGTTACAGTTGTGAGCTGCCAAGTGGGTACTGGGAATTGAACCCCGGACCTCTGGAAAAGTTGCCAGTGCTCTTAACCACTGAGCCATCTCTCCAGCCTCCACTTCAGTGATTTTTGCCAGGTGTTCTGTTGTAGCACCATGAGGAATAAATGAAGGGAAAACTCGTACCGTGGAATGCAGCTGACGGAGGGAATGCTGGAATGGCAAAGTTCTCTGAGAACTTCTGATCAAACCCCCACTCTCCCAGATCCACTTCCCGCTCACGCACACCTCCCAACTTGTCTCCTGGTTTCTTAGTAACCCATGCAGCCCATATATATTGAAGTATGTGATCCACTGGTGCCTAGTCCACTTATCAGGGGCTTCAACATCCCCCCTCCCCATAGTCATCTGTCAATAGTGCCTCAGGTAGAGGTGTGTGGTGGGGGGTAGGCTTCTCAGTCCTTCCTCCTCTGTTAAATGGTGATTGGCTTTATTTTGTCCAAGTCTTTCAAGGCAATCAAAGCTGCTCTGTTCCTGATATGTCCAGGAGATACTGATTTATACTTCCATCAGGTAGACACAAAAGAATCATAAATTTTTACGAGATACTTAATGGTAAAAGGGAAACGAATGTTTTCATAAAGAACACAGTCAGTACCTTAACCAGAGATTGAAGTTAACAGCAGCAGGTAACGGGGCAAATCACCAAGGACTGAAACAAGGCCCTGAGCTAACCCCCTTTCTACTGTATTCCTACTCAAACCGTGAAACCAAATCTAATCATAGTTAAGTAGCAAATAAACCCAAGTTGAAGGATATTTTACAAACCATTGGTTTTCATTGAAAGATATCAAGGTCGTGAAGTGACAGACAAGTCAGTTGTCCTGATCTGGTCATTGTACATTATAAACATACACATTTGAATGCTACCATCCCTCATATTTAACTACTGTCAAGTAAAAACAAAGGCAGAGCATGATAGTAGATGCCTAGGATCCTAGCACTTGGGAGGTGGAAACTTGGCTAGTGAGTACCAGTCTGAAATACATAAGACCTTGTCTAAAATTTAAAAAAAAAACAACAAAAAACCAGGAGCCGGAGGGGTGTCCATCACACACCAGCATTTGAGAAATGGGATCAAGAACCCTGTTTCTAAGTAGATATGTGTGTAAAATGAACGGCGGGCCACTTCCCACTGCCCGCCCGGCTAGCTTTACCCGAAATAATTACATGGAAACTGTATTCTTTTAAACATTGCTTGGCCCATTATATCTAGCCTCTTATTGGCTAACTCTTACATATTGTTTCAACCCATTTCTAATAATCTGTATATCACCACGAGGTCGTGGCTTACTGGGAGAGATTCAGCATGTCTGACCTGGCAGCTTCATGGCGATGACTCTCTGACTCTGCTTCTTTCTCCCAGCATTCTGTTCTGTCCATTCCACCCATTTAAGGGCTGGCCTATGAAAAAGGCCAAGGCAGTCTCTTTATTAACCAATGAAAGTAACACATAGACAGATGACCCTCCTCCATCAATATGTGGTCCATGCCTTTAATCCCAGCACTTGGGAGGCAGAGGTAGGGAGGCAGAGGTAGTTTGAGTCCAACCTGGTCTACAGAGTGAGTTCCAGGACAGTCATGACTACGTCTGGAAACCCTGTCTTAAAAAAACAAAACAACAACAAAAAGATCAAATAACTCAAGGCAAACATTATTCAAAATTACATTCCAAACCAAAAATGTGGTATTACAAGAAAAATGGTTATGGTTAAATAAGGTCGGTAGACCCCAAACTTGGGTAATTATAATGTGGAATTTTTTAAAATACGGAACACAAATTCAAGCACTTAGAGATAAAGGGACGTCTCCAAAATAGCAGAAAAGACATAGAGAGGGGATAATAATTTGGGGAATCTGAGTGAAGGTCTGTCAGTTTTTGCAATATTTTCATTGTCTAAAATTACTTTGAAATTTAATCTTAACCAGGAGTGTTGGAACATCTTATTGTCTCAGCGCTGGGAGGTTATGGTAGGACTGTGAGTTCAAGGTCAGCCTGGACTATACCTGAGACTGTTTCCACAGAAGGGAAAAAAAAAGCAAAAATTTCCAAATACTCTGTTTGGGTTTCTTTTAGATTTTGAAATATATACATATAGATAACATAATAATGAACTTGGGACTTGAGTGTAAACACTTACATCTGTTTCAGTTGGGCATAGAGGTGCATGACTTCAGTCCCAGCACTAGGGAGGACTGGCAAGGTTCTGCAAGCAAGAGCCTAGTCAGGTGGGAGTTCCAGGCCCGTGGAGCACACCAGTGAGTCCCTGTCACAACCCTGCCTCCCCTCCCAAAACACAAAGCTCAGGCACCTTCTACAAATGGCCTGAAAGCAATTTTATAGTTTATATTCAAGTATGAGTAGAGACAAAAAGGGGCAGATTACTAAAGAAATAGATGCACTGGGTCCTAAGTTGTTACTGCTAACTAGACCAGAATCACGAGGCTGTTTGGGTAAGATCATTTGTGTGATTTCCCCAGTAAGGGGACAAAGTAATGAATCTACAGGGTATGAAAGGGTTAGATAGGAATTGGCCACTACTTTGAGAGTTGATAGGTACCACACTCTATTGTGGTACGGACACACCTTACCCACAGTTCTATATGCACACACCTGCTCAGAGTATGATGCCTTCTTCTGAATGCATTATCCCAGGAGACAACTCCTCAAACACAACACCAATAGTGCAGGCACTAAGACTGACAATGGAACCTCATGAAACTGAAAAGCTTCAGGAAGGCAAAGGACACGGTCAGTAGCACAAAATGGCAGCCTAAAATGGGGAAAGATCTTTAGCAACGCCATATCTGATAAAGGGCTAATATCCAAAATAAATAATAAAGAATACATACAAGAAACTATGTATTAGGAAAACAAATAATCCAATTTAAAAATGGGGTAGAGGACTAAACAGAACTCTCAATAGAGGAATCTCAAATGGCTGAAAAACACTTAAATGTTCAACATCCTTAGGTATCAGGGAAATGCAAGCCAAAACGACTTTGAGATTCCATCTTAGACCTGTCAGAATGGCTAGGATCGTCTGTACCAGGAAAGACATTCAGTAATAGGACTGGGACAGCAACCCAGCCACAAAACCTGCTACACAACCTGTCCTGCCTGCAAGACGTGCTGGGGCAATGGTGACTTGGAGCTTGAGGGATTGGCCAACCGATGACAGGACTAACGTGAGGTCCACACCACCAGAGGGAGCCCACGTCTAACACTGCTAACAGAAGCTGGGGGCCCACAGACCCAGTGTAGCACAAAACATGATTGGCCAAAAAAATAGTAGTCTTTAAGTCAATGAAATGATTCCTAGTGACATTCTGCTATACTCATAGATCAGTACCTAGCCCAATTTTCATCAGAAAGGCTTCCTCTGGCAGTTGATGGGGACAGATACCCACAGCCAGCTTTAGGCAGAGCGTGGGAAACCCCTGGGAGGGTGGAGAGGAAGGATTGTGGGAGACGGAGGTAGAGGACATCAGAACACAGAATCAACTAGGCAGGGTTCAGAGAGACTGCATAGTAACCACAGTCTGCACTAGGTCCCATTATGTATGTTGTGGTTTAGCTTGTGGTTTTTGTGGGAGTGCTTCCAACTCTTTTGCCTGCTCTTGGGCCCTTTTACTCCTGCGTCACCTCATCCAGCTTTGATATGAGGCTGAATATTGTACCTAATTTTATTGCATGTTGTTACAGTGTGTGGTTGATATCCCTGGGGGGCCTGTTCTGAAGAGAAACAGGAGCAGTGGATCTCTGGGAGTTGGGTGGGGGGGAGGGGGACTGGAGGCTGCTGAAGGGATGTACTGTATGAGAGAATAAAGAAAAAAAATGTCCTAAGATTTAGAGTATAGAGAGAGGAGCACCCTGGCAGAGAATTAAGTGTAGCTTCTTCAGTGCATGGTCCCTGTCCCCCCCCCTCCACACACACACACACACACACACACACACACACACACACACGAGCAGCACTAACTGGATGCAGGGGCATCAACGACAACCTAAATGGAGGACACGAAGTTGGAAGAGACTGGGGTGGGGGGCGCAGTGCTAGGGCGAGGTGAAGATGATGGTTATAGTCAAAACACACTGTATAAATGTATGGAATTTCCAAAGACTAAATAAAAAACTTTTTTAAGTATAGGGCCTTTTTTTCACATTTCTTTCCTCCAAGCCTGTCTTCTACATTTTTTAGAGACAGGTTTATCAATTTGTAGGTGAGTTCTAGGCCACAAGAGTGAGACTCCATGTTTCAAAAAATACAAGTTTTTAACAATTATGTAGAAGCTGGTAAGATGGCTCAGAGAATAAATGTGCTTGCCACCTGGTGAGAGGTGCCCAATGAATTGTACCCATAGAGAACTGGCGGTACAGGGTTTCCTGACTACTCCCTTCCTTACCCCACCATGGATACAAGACATTCACCTTGACGTCTGAACATAACCCAGTCTGAGTAGTGCAAGACACCCTCCTATGCCAAAGCATCTCCTCCTCCAGTAACTTGATGACCCACTTGTACACGAATTGTTTCAGGTCTTTGTAATCAATTTTTTACCTTATGATCTCGTTACTGAATTTGACAATCCTACATTAGGCTGTACCACTGAATGTCAGGCATGCTAGAACACTTAAAAACCTCCATAGATGGGTCTTACTTAGCTTTATGCTAAGTAAGTTTGTGGTTTGTTCAATTGTTAAGTTCACATTACCAATAGTTAAGATTTAAAATTGTCCTCTGATACATTAAGTTCAAATCAGGTTTTGCATTTTAGTGGTTCATTAACAGTATCAAGCCACACCTATTTGCTTTTCATACACATACAATGACCATTACATACTGTAGGTAAGACCTTATCCCAAACTATACCTGTCAGGAATCAATGCAAAGCCATTTTACCATTAAAATCTTGCTTCTTAGAAATTTAAATAAGATATTTGAAGCAGTTTAGAAAAACAAGATTTGTATTTTATTTCCTTGTAAAAATCTTTCACATGCAGACAAACCAGTGTTAAGAAAGTATTCACCATCATTTAAACAAATAACCACTTAAATACAACAGTGTCTGCAAGTTTTATCTGTATAAAAATAAGATACATTTTTACAGAATTCACACTCCAGTTTTTATAGCAATAAACAATACACAACTATAATAAAGTACAATTGAACCTGACCATGGTTTTCAATGAGATACTGCTAGGGCATTTTAATGTGCAAAAAACTTTAACATAGTTCTTTTCCAAAGAAAATGTCCTCAGTGTTTCTAGAGACCTAGACAATTTTAATAAATCAATTCCTAATCACTTTGTTTTATGTTTTGATTGAGTCCATACATCACACTGCATACAGGCAAAACCAGGAACCGATGCAATGTCAGAGGAAGAAAGTCAACGCCTATGCCTGCTGTGTCCTGAGCGACTGCTGCCATGGTGCTTCCCTTTATGGGATCTCTCAAAGGAGCGAGATCTTTCACGCCTATCTCTGTGATGTCCCCTTTCATGCCTGTGTTTCTTGGTAACATCTGAGTGATCCCGAGACTTGCTCTGAGATCGAGACCGCGATTTTTTCCTTTTATGGCCATGTCTATTTGAGCTTTTTAAGTCTTCTCTGCTATGTTTGGCCTTCAGGTGAGGAGAACCATGGTTATGATGTCTTCGAGGGCTTTCACTGTGACTGCGGGACCTGCTTCTTGATCTTGAGCTGTATGTTCCAGATCGACTTCGCCTATTATTATAACTTAGACAACAGAAGTTTCAAGTTTAGGTTCGGTTTCTATTGGCAACAGATTAAAAATTTGTTCATTACCATGTTTAAAACAATCAGCTATGAGCAACGAAAAGCTGAACTGACCATTTTCCTCAGTCTCCACACCCTGACCTCTCGACTGAAGCTTTACTGTTAAGACATAACTGATGTCTATATATTGCACTACATATAGTGCATCAGATATGGCAACTACATGCCTTAAAAAAACAAAAACAAAAAAACTGAGTATCTCCCACATAATCAAAGTGCATCAGAAGAACCTGTATCTAATTACAAAGTTGACTAGGCTCTTTAATACAAAATTAATGAAATACTTACAATTTTAACAAACTGAATGTAAAGAATGCTTTCCTACAATAAATAATTTTATATACATATAACCCCACAGCATTTTCTGGACAATTCACAATAAATAAGCAGCTGGAGGAACAAAACAATGCACAAAATGCCACTAAGGCACATTACTAAGGTCAGTGAGATGGCTCAACAGGAAAAGGGGCCTGCCGCCAAGCACAAAGACCAGAGTTTGGTCTGTGACTCCCATAGTGGTAACTTTTACAAATTTTCCTCTAACTTCTCTACATAACCACTTATGCATATTTTAAAACAAACACAACTGAAGTATCACACTTGAAGAGTGTCCCTAAGTTTACTTCTCTTTACATTAAGCCTAATCCTAAAGCATGCTTGTAAACCTGATGGTATATAGTAAAACATGCAAAGCAAACAACCCAAATACTTATTCCTAACCTAAAACCCACAGCCCATCTTCCAAGACCCTAAACCCATTACTCACTGTCTTCTTGGGGTGTGTGATCTAGACCGTGATCTGGTTCTTGACCTTGATCTACTAGCACTTCTGCTGTTTCTGCTTCTCTTGCTGTCTTTTCTTACACTTTAAAAAGAAAACATGCAGGTGGTATTTTTACATTGTTTTAGTGTATAAAGATTTAACAACGAATATAAAGGTTTAACAATGAATAAACAGGGCTGGAGAGATGACTTAGAGGTTAAAAGCACTGGTTGCTCTTCTAGAGGTTCTGAGTTCAATTCCCAGCAACCACATGGTGGCTCACAACCATCTATAATGAGATTTGGTACCCTCTTCTGACCTTCAGGGATACATGCAGGCAGAACACTATATACATAATAAATAAATCTTAAAAAAAAATCCAATCCCTTGGAGTACACTCACCCATTATAAGGGCTTTTGGAAGCCTGTTGTCTGTCCTCAGGTTCTTTTTTGACTGTCTTCACATTAATGGAGATTGGTGACTTCTCTTCAGCTTTTACTTCTCTCGGTGATGCTTTTAATAGACAAGGACAATATATCAAGACAGGATTTAGCAGAGAACAAGTTCCCAACACAGTCTACACTTCTAACCCTTAAGGCTGATTTGTCTCAAAAAACCCAGCAACAATTTCTTAATGGTCTCTAAGAAACTGACCAACGCCACACCTTTCTAACAAAGCACACTTACAGCGCTCCCATCTCATTCAATTCTGACTGCCATCTTACATGGTTTAGAGGCTGGAGAAAATCCACCGAGTGTTGAAAGGGCTGGCGTTCCATCAGGATTCAATCCCTTTGCTTTTAATTTGGCTTCCTGTAAGGCTACTTTTCTTTTTTCTACTTCTTTTTCCAACAATTCATAGTTTGGCTGTTGGATGAAAATCAAGTTAGTATTGCCTTTAGATCTTGAAAATGCCATTAGCACCAAACTGAATATATCTAAAATTACCTTTTTCCTGGTGTAAAGTCTAAGTGTCTCTATGCAGATTTCTTGGATCTCTTCTTCTGTGGTACCAAAAAGAAGAAACCAATGGGGCCGAGTTGGCAATGGAATCTAAACCATTAAAAACAGAACGGTTCAAACTTTGGTTCCTCTGAGATGTACCAATTTCTTGGAATTTACAAATTTGTAAAGCTCAGCAGGTTACATTACCTGAAGTGCTCTAGCTGCAAGGTAGATACAAGCACATGCTATCGTTTCTGGTTGAAAGCGAACAAAAACATTGGTTCGAAGACTGTCATTCATGTAATTCCTGAAAAACATTTCAGCTATCAGCTTAGTCCATAAGCAAACCGAATCTTCTGACATGCATATAAAATTGGAGACTCAATCTACTTCATTCTTTTTTCTTCTCCTCATATTCACATCTTTAAACTGCATCATGTTAACAGTTTCTAACCCTTCCCCCACATCACTTATAAACAATACAGATCTCACCCCTAAAACCCTCCTTCACCATATTACTATAAAAGGCAGTGATTTGGAGTCAATTCTGACACAGCGAGGTTCAGATCTCACCACTCCAACAATACTTCAAGCCATTAGTTACTGACCATCTCTCCTTTATCCATAATGAAAAGCAGTGTCAACCAAGTTCTTAAAAAAATAAAAAAATCCAATACCAGAAAGAGGGGTAAAAAAGTATTTTTTAGTAAGAACCCATCAAGTTACTCTTACAGTTAGAAAGGGGGGGAAACATTTAAAAAAAAATCTAGGTAGCGAAGTGAGCAATAAATACACATAATGGCCTTGTTTACATACCTTTTTGCAATTAAGTAGAAATAAAACAATAATCTAATTAATTAAATAAACTTCTGAAACGTCTAGTGAAACTCTGCAATAAAATTCCTTAACTAAAAAGCCTGAGCTGGAAATTATATGGATTTTTTTAAATCCTTACAATTGTTAAAAGCTATTGTATAATTTTTTTTGCTGCACAGAATACATTGAAAACTCATGCATTTAATAAAGCAATATGGCTTTTCTAAAATTACCAGTATCTATTAAGACCAAGAGAAGCATGGCTGTCATAAAAAACAAACAAACAAAAAAAGACAAACCTATTTCTGGGAAAGCCCAGAACTATTTAATGCTTGTTTGCTTGTTTATCAGCAGGCACATGAATCATTTATGCTAAACCAATTTCCTTGCTTAATCTTTCTGCATCTCAAAGGCCCAAGTTCAAAAATACTTAAATAACATTAACTTTTTAAAAAATTAAATGCTTCTTATACCACAGCCTACACCACCTCAATAGCTGGAGTCACCTCAAATGGCAACAGGCACCCATTTAAAGCTACAAGCATAAGGTAGCCTCCTTGGCAGAACGGATGCTATACACATTCCAAGTAGAAATTTAACTGAACCCAATTTTTTAAAAAAAAAAAAAAACAGTTCATATTGGCTGGACAACAATCTATCAAAAATGAAATATTCATTTTGATAGTTACAGGTATACATTAAATACATAGGCATGATGCATAGTTACTTCTAGAAGCAAATATACAAATCCTTTTGACACCCCGACAGAACTAGAAGATGCTGCCAGATGGATATGGACCACTTCAGTGAATCTCGGATGAGAGCTTGCACTGGATTGGCTGGAGAGCAGGCTAGCCAATCAGGCCATCCTGAGGTCATGGGCTGAAGTGCAGAGGGCAGAGTTCTATGACTTACCATCATGGACTACCCTTTAATTAAAGAGTAGAAAAAAGAACAAAGTTAAATTGAGTTCTCCATTAAAAGTAATTAGTCAAGCCAAGAAAACAGGAAGCAGAAATAAGCATTATTTACCTTTTGGTTAAAAAACAACAACAAAAACAAAATACCCCCAAACTTATTTTATTACTTTAGAAGGAAAATAAAATGAAACTTACTTTATTTCTGCTTCTGTTTTCCTGACTAAAGAAGAAATGTAAAAAAGCAACTTACCAGGCAGTTTGAACCAGGGTTTGGTTACGTTCACATTCTAAGACTTGTAAATACATTACAATGATCTGAGGACAAGGGAGAAAACACCATTTAGCACATCGGTGGTTCTTTCACAGCAGAGTTCAATGAGTAAGCCACATGAAGTGTTGATTAGTTCTAATCCCTATAACATTACAACTACAGGTCAATGCAGAACATGCTCAAAACTCAGTGTTGACTATTACATTACTCAGCTCTAAAAATGTACTTACAGAAGAGGCGGTTAATAACTCAAGTGTTTTCTAGCATTCATCAGAAAGGGCAGAATTTATACTATCATTGTACACAATGGTCACAGCACATTTTCTAGAACACTAAGCATTACAGTGATTTCTGAAAGCTTCTTAAACATTAAAGTTTCTTAAATAAAAGGTACATAACTCAATGAGATAATGCTTGCCTTATATTTGGTTCTCAGCAAGACACACTAATTACATAAAACTATTTCAGTTTATGCCAAGTGTTTCTGGACTCATATTACCACCACTTTATAATTTTAGAAAAATGGAACTTGAAGTTACCAGCCAGAGTCACCCAGTTAACAGCAGAGCTAGCTATCTCTTGCAACCACTGTTCAGAAGGGCAATAGGAAAGTCAAAAGGGAAAGCTTTAGTCTATGGTTTACAGCCAGCAGCTACCCTTTTCAACACTTTAGCAGGTATGTGCAACTCATTCCTTACATGAGGAATTTCATCACTTGAGTTTGTTAAGGGGAAAAACTAGAACTTAACCACAAAGAATATTCATGATCACACAATTACTAATATTAATGCCTGATGAGTCCCATTTTTACTGACAAATATCAACATCCAAAATAAAGCTTTTGAAAACTCAGGTTAACTCTCCACATAAGTAAAAATTTTTAAGAAAAGCCCTAATACTTACGAAATTTAACTTCTGCACTCTATAACTCACCTTATGGGGATGCTTGACATGAACACAAAATCCCAACTCCTTTAGCACCCTCCTTTCTGCCTTGATAACTTGATTTTTGGTGTTAATGTAGTTCTGATCAAGGATCAGAGGGCTTGGAGTCCTATAGTTTGTAAGAAATAAAATCAAAACTGTTTTGCACATCCAAAACCTTTTATTTGTGGCATCTCCATTTTCCCTTCCAACCAACTATTGGCAACAGAAACCAGCTTTTTAAACTCCTGCTAACAAGTTAAAGCATTAATCTTATGCTGTCCAAGTTATGCTAATTATATACAACTAGACAAAGCCCCTAAACCAACTTGAAAAAACACTTACATATTCTTAGGTCTCTTAACTTACATTTAACTTCAGTGATAAACATTATTGGCACAAACCTCAGCCTCATAGAAACTTCCCAGTAAGAACCAATGTGATCCTGAAAGGTTTAGTATAAAGTTCTAATATGAACAAAGATTTACAAAAATTCTTTTTGAGTAAACCCTTTGCTAAGTTTATGATCAAAATGAAACCTAAGGGAAAAAACAGGTAGTTAATTCTGATCTCCTTTTTGGAACAACACACTAAAAACAAATATACAAAGAATATTTGTCTGCTTAACTGGCCGCCCACCCCTGGCAAAAAAAAAAAAAACAAACAAAAACCAAAACAAACCACAAAAGCAAAACACCAAAACCAAACCAAACCACACCAAAACACCAACAACAAAAATCAAACCCAAAATTAGCTCAATTATCAATGAAAGTAAATATTTTTAAAAAATGGGTTTAAGAGTAAATTAGGTAACTCAATGTAGCTCCTAGGAGACTATAAGGCTGCAGAGAGGGAACAGGAACCACATTCACAGCCTGTATGTATGAGATGTCCTGAGTTGTGTCTTTTCATATTGGAGGAAGGAACACCTGGTCACTCATAGAAAGTCATCTCATGTACATCACGTAGTTTATTTATTTAAAAAAAAAAAGCCTTGCTATGAAGCTCATCTTGCCTCACCCACTGGAGCGGGTCATATTAGCAGCAAGTGCAATCTGGCTTGTCTTACAATCTGCCAGTTAAGTAATGTTAACATGATCTATGAAATTTACCATGTGTTTTTTTGATACATTCTTACCTCCAACCAGCAAGATGTACATATCTATTAATGATTGTACAGTAAGTATACGGGTAGAATATTTAAATGCTTTCTCAAACAATTCATTTTCAGTCAAGTCACAAGTTTTATGCTCTAGAGAGAATATACTGCCTGAATACTTCTTAACCTATTTAAGCATAACCACTTAAAGGTAATAAAACAATCTAATCTGTAATGTTGAGTAGGAGCCCCAGCTCACACTCCTAAGCCCAGCACTATACGGGGGTGGGTATAGAAGAATATGGAGACAAAGACTTCAAGGATATCCTCTATTACATCAGGGGAATTGAGGCCAAACTGGGTTAACACAAGACCAAGAAAAAAAAAAATCCACAGTGAAGTACATTAACTACCTTCCTGATAGCAGGCTATCAGAGTAAAAAAAATTAATTTATATTTTCCTTATTTTCACTTAAAAGCAAAATCCAGTGACTGTTATTCTGTAACTTTGTGTTAAACTACTAATAGCTGGCAGAAGTAACATCAAGAGTAACAAAGTAATTATGAAAAACTGATCTAAGTTCAATTTCTACTACATCTTTAAAGAGTGAGAAATGTTACGGCAGTTAAGTAGGAGAATGGCCTGTAATGAATTGGTTTTATCAGGACAAAAGCCGCAAATTGCACTTTGGGGGGGAAAAGGCCCTTTATCTCAAATGGGAACAACCAATGTTTGTTATGAAAACACACCCAAAAAGACACTATGGAAGGGTTTACGACGTTTCATGTTTTATATATGCATTACAAGCTTGTCCTTCAATTGGTATTAGGAGTCCAAGAGGCTCCATCCAGTGTTTTATCTGTACACAGCTTAGCTCTTAACCCCTGAAATCCAGACAGTAAACAGCACCACTAACATCCCTCTACAAGCCAGGTGGTGGCAGTACACACCTTTAATCCCAGCACTTTAGGGGGAGGGGGCTGCAAGTGGGCAAAGACAGGCAGATATCTGTGATTTTTAAGGCCCCCTTGGTCTACAAAGGGAGTTCCAGAACAGGCTCCAAAGCTACAGACGAACTCTGTCTTGGGGATGGGGAATCTCTATACAAATAGTTCACAAAAGTCTTACTTTTCCTAAATGTGTTAAAATTTATACTATATCCTACCAAGAAAACTGCTTTATATAGAGTTTTTAGAAAGTTTGTGATCAATTAGGTGAACATCGTTTTCAATTGTGGCTACCAACTGGTGCCAAATTTAAGGATTCATCACTAATTCTGCTTAAACAAGTATCTGGATTTAATCCTCACTCTGCCATAAGCACATTGCCCACCATCAGAATCCCAAAGAACATGAAGCGGCACAGCCTTGTTTAATCCCAGGAGGGAGATAGTTAAGGCACAACGGTCAAACTTTAGGCCACCCGGAGCTACCAAGTGAGACCCTGCATCTTAAAACTCCAAGTCTCACGAACTTAAAACAGACCAAGGAAACAAAAACCATTTTTTTTTAAGGTAAACAGACCATTACCTTACAACTCAACCATCTATGTTCTTATTTAGTCTTGCCACTAACAATTTTCCAAGTTAGGTTTGTAAATGCACAATCGCTCATCTTCACTTTGTTTAGAACTGATTTGCCTTATAAATCAAGGCAAGCTCAATGAATACAAAATTAACAACTATCTTAACAAAAGCATTTTATACCACGATAAAACAGAAAATATCTCCATAAATCAGTAAACAAAAATTCTGAAAAAGCACTAAGTAAGAAAAGCTTTTTATATTAACAAAGTAATCAACCAGAAGTATTTTTCAAGTTGAATCAAGACTTGGTAAAATTTCCTCCCAATCAAGTAAACACCTTTGGACCAGCACTAGATGAAGAGATGGCACTTGAAGACGAGGGAGTAAGTCCTCATCTATTCAGGACTATTGCAGTAGCAACAACACTCACTCTACCTACCAAACTGCACCTCTGAAGGCTCTTTATTACCAGACTTTGCTCATTAACTTATCTGAAATTAGGAAATCTGGGTCTGTGTATTGGAAGTTTGTATGATAGCTACTTTCTATAGTATGATTGAAACACAGCACATGAACGACAAAAGTTTAGAACTAAGGGGTTAGAGCATGGTTAGTCTCTCTCGTGTTACAAAACAAGGACTGATACTCCGGAATAAGTAGTACAAGGAGCTACACCATAAACCAGATGGGTAATTAATACAGAGACGAGATTCCTACTCTACACCATAAACCAGAGGAGTAATTAATACACACAGAAATCTCTAATGCTTATTTTGAAATAGGAACATTCCTCAAGTGTCAAACTAAAGCTACCCATGAACCACAGAAATAAATTAAATGGTTAGATAAAATGACAATATTGACCTGACCCTTCCAATTCTTACTTTTCTATACATTGAAAATAGCATCAACAGTCACCAATAAAAGCAGTCAAATCTTGAAAAGTTCATCTTGTAACACTTATCTTAAAAGATATAAAAGACTTCTTAAAGAAAAAAAAACTAACATACTGCAAATATGTTACATACAAATAAAATTGTAAACTACTGGCATGAACAGCTTTTCTTTTCCTTTAAATTCAGCTATTCTGAAGAACTATCAAATTATAAGAAAAACCCTTATGGTGGGGCAAGTCAAATATTTCATATTGAGGACTGGACATTTATATTTACTATTTATCTTTATGTAGCCAGAACCAAAAACATACACGAATGCCCCCCCCACGTAGCTGTCAAGGCCATACAGTAACCTAGTTAGCATTCACAAATGAACTAGAATTCATGACAAATTAATTAGAATATAACATTTATTATTTTCTAACCATATCCTATGCAAAGAACACAAAACATCTTACTAAGCTACAGTTTTAATAACTTGGACAGCAAAGAAAAAAGCTTATAACAAGAAACAGGAGTTTTTTGTTTGTTTGTTTGTTTTCTCTAAATGGTTCACCAGTGGCCAACCTGTTAGTCCCCGATTCCAGTGACCTATTCTCAGAACACTGGCTTCTCCTTGGGGATTTTCGATACTTCACTCACTGTTGCCATGACGACAGCTTCATCTCTATGTACCACTCCACATCACCCAGGCTTTGGTAAATGTAGCTGGTCGCTGTATAGTCGGTTGCAAGGGAAAAAAGAGTTGAAGTTAATAACATATACAAGTTACATGTCTGAGTAAACTTGTAATATGCATAGAAACACTTATATCCTGCTTTTAAAAAGGGGGGCTTCCATGCAATTAACTTCTTTAAGAATTTCATGCTATAATCAAACTCATAACATTGAAACAAAATCAATTTCTCTTTAATGATGGCCAAAAATGCAGTTACATCCAACACAAGTCAGTCAGATTGGATTAGTTTTAATTCTGAAGTTTTATGGTTAAGATGATCCTATTCTGACACCAAGGGAAGAAAGTTAAGTCCCATAGGAAAACACCGAGATGTGGTTATAGTTGGCTCAACAACTCATATACTAGAAAATGTCCTTTTAAAGCAGAGCCCTTCGACTAATGATAAAAATTCTGTATTTTCAGTGTTTCATTTAAGAACACCCTAAAAAAAGAATCAGCCACATATCTAAATACGAATATAAGCTCAGAACATACTAAACACTAGTTCGAAAGTCCCCCATTTCTCTACTTTCTTCATGAACTAAAAACGTTTTCAAACGAAGGAAGTTTATCAGGGAGCACACTGAGATGAGAAAAGATAGGGCTGAAAAAGTATGAAGAAAAGAACAAAACAAGCTATATATGTATTAAAAAAACAATCGGGGCAGCAATTTTTGACCATGCTGCCCACTTTCAACTCACTTTAATATTTGCTTATCTATACCTTCACTACCACCAACTTATAGACTCCATCAATAAAGACTATGTATGATGCTCATTTGAACTAAGCAACACCCAGTTCCCAAAACAACTTATCTTTTCACAGCTAAGTCTTTCAAACTCATGACAATTCCTCAGAAACTAGCCTGCACAATGACTACCCTAGAATCGCCCGTGGAACAGTGAGGCCCGTGACAAACTTCGGTGCTGCCATAGATGAAGGCACAGGCCCACTTAACGTTACCAGATTATCAGTCCACCACAAAGATACTGTTTCAGACTGTATTTTCTTACAAGATAAAGAGCCCTATCCGAAGGCAACTCAATGTGTTATTTCTCTAACCCACTCACTGAGACTGTATCTAACCAAAACAAAATACCTGTTCAATCCCTTTGACTTCAAACTTCCAACTTTACCATCCTCCAGTCCTTTCAGATCCGGTATTATTCGATATAGCGTAGTTCAATGTGGAGAAGTACTCTAACAAAAGCCAACCTCAATTGATGAAGAAACTGGGACTCCAAGCAGAAAAACCACCTACACGGAACTTGGCCACAATATTAACTCGAACTACAGAGCTTCCAGGTCCAGCCTTCAGTGTTCCAGAGAGGGGAGGGGAAAGAGAACTTACAGAATACACTCCCACTGGAGCCAACCGTGCTCCCTTTCTTGTTTAAGCTTAAGCCAAGGGACTGGCTTCACAGCACTCCCTGGATTGTCCACAAAGCAACTGCCTCTACAAACTTTAGATAGCTGGTTAATTCAGGGTTTTTAAAGTTTTAGGGTTCCTATGTGAATTTCAACACCTAATGTCAGTTTTCTTTTGCATCCATACTGACTTGAGGGGGGGAAAAAGATGTTTTGACTCGATGATTGGCGTACAACAGCAGTAGTAAGGAGTACTATGTTCAATAGGCCAATCTTACCTTTTTCCTCTTAACTGGCGGAGGTGGTGGAATACATTAATCACATCCCTTATTCTTCTTGGTGCTTCTTCTATTTTTGACGCGAGATTAATACAGGCCATGGCAACAATCTGAAAAGAAGCCACGAGGGGACAAAACTTATAATGAAGCGTAACACTAAACTGGACGCAACCCTGTCCAAAATCTAACAAACTTATTTTTAAAAGAGTAACTCTAAGGCACAACAGCGCTTTTGGCGAAATCAAATCAATCAAGAGCGACATGTTTAGCGCACGGAGCCTACCAGCTATATACGCTGTATTGCTCAACGGCTCTTTAATTTTGGACCAGAATCAAGTAAACTCTCACGAGTTGTTCGGGGGCCGGAAAAATGTAGTTCTTGGTACCGGAGCACGTGGGTTCAGGATCCATTTTCTAGTTCCTGGAACACGTTCTAAGGGCCCCGTTTCCTTCTGGGTGGGAACTAGGTACAAAGGCCCAGGCTAACCACTCCCTTTCTGGAAAAGCTAGTTACTACCCTTTCCTCCCCGCTTCCGGATGAGGCAACCCCTTCTCGCCCGCCTCCGCCGAGCTCACCTCGAAACTGTGTTTGACGAACGACTTGGAGTAGAAAAAGCGATGGAACAACACCTGCCCCGTTGCCATCGCCACCTGCAGACAAGAGAGGAGAACGGAAGCGCCGGGGTCAGGCGGGCCCGCACCAGGCTCCGCCGCCATCTTGTGCGGCCGCTCGCTGCTCCC